CACCGTCACCTGGGAAGACCCCTGCTAAATGAGGTGTGGTGCTTCCTTCCTGGCCCCTGGGGGCCCCAGTGTCCCCATTGTTTGTATCAGCCCAGTGTGGGAGGCCTCATAGGCTAAGAGTGCAGGCAGCAGGACGGGGCTCATGGTGGGCAGGGAAGACCCCTCAGGGCTGCAGGGACCAGCGGCGGTCAGAGATCAGGGGGGCTGGGCTTCCAGAGGGGTCCCTCTGTGTCCTCAGCTTGGGGGCCAGGAAGCCCGGGGGTGGCAGGGGCCACCCCAGACCTCAGACCCAAGGGGAGAGCTTGGCGGTTGAGCTGATCCTCAAAGCCGCCGGAAACCAAGGCGCACACGGGGCCCGAGCAGCATCCGGCCGGCCCCCGGTGGTTTTCCTCCGCGTGTCCTTCCTTCCCTCGTGGGCCAGACCCTCTTTCTGGGTCCCGGCTGGGGCCTGTGGGGGCTGGGTGGGAGCGGATGCCCTGTGAGTATTTCTGCTGCTCTCTCCTTACAGTAACACGTGTGACCCAAAGGATGTAGGAGTGAGGGGAGGGCGCAGGGCGGTCAGAGCCGGACCCGGAGCTTTTCTGCTGGCCCCTCTGGCTCTCGTTTTCTTGCCTATAACACGGGGAGGCGTGTAGCAGGCCAGATACGGCAAAAGCTCTCAGGACGTCAGGGAAAGTAAAACCCTGGGCTCCAGCCCCTGGAGGGGGTGCAAAGCCGTGTGGCCCTGGCACCCTGGTGGGCAGGCCCACGGGACAGCATTGTGGGACCACCTGCCACCTCGTCAGCTCTGGCCCAGGGCAGCGACCTGTCCCCAGTGAAGTGGAGCCTGTTCCATGACTCAGCCAAGCCGGTCCAACTGGCCCTGTTGGCACCCGGCAGGGAGTGGGGAGGGTGCAAAGTGAGGCTGAAACCAGCATTCATGGGGCGTGGGATCCCTGTGAGACTTTCCCAGGTTCTGGGCGCAAGGCCTGCGCCCAACTTGTCGAAAAGGGGGGCTGGCGAATGATGGGCGGGGAAGGTCCCAGATGACCAGGCTACCAGCCCTGACCTCCTGGGGAGCTGCGCCCACCAGGGCTTCCGTGTGCCGCACGGGTCATGGTGCGGTGTCATTGTTAGCAGTCGGAAGTTCCTGCGCCTCTCTGCCTCGGTTTCCCCATCTTTGAGACGCAGAAAAGGTCCTCCCTCGTAAGATAATAACGTAAAGCTCTGGGAACAGTCCCTGACACTCAGAGAGGGCACAGAAGGTTAGCTGCTGTCTTTATCGTTGTTTATTATTATCATTACTGTCATTATTATTTTAAAACTAAGAGCTTGCTGTGTGTGTCAGACTGAAAGCTTCGCACCTCTCATGCACAAATCTCAGTTAATCATCCATCAACCCTACAACGTCACCTGCCGTTCCCACGGTCCCCATTCACAGAGGAGAAATCCAGGGCTCTGAGACCTGGCTGGGCTGCCGTTGGCCCGAGACCAAGTGCCTAGTGGTCTGGAGCCTGGACCGGCCCCCAGCTGTGCTTGACCTCACATCCCCTTTGACGTGGGGGGTGCTAGTTTTGCACCCAGTTCACAGATGAAAACATGGGCTCCCCGAGGCAGTGGGTGGCCGTGCTGAGGAGGGAGGGAGGTCCCGGTGGAGTGTGGCACTGGCAGGTCCCTGATGAGAGGAGCTGCCTCGCCCCCTCTGCTCTCAGTGCAAGGTCAGGCCTCCCCTTGTTCCTGATTTTCTTCTCCAGACACACAGTCGGGCTCTGCGAGGTGCTTCTTCCCCCCATCCTCCCTCCCCTCCCTCCCACAACGTCGCTCCCTGTCCCCCCTCCCAGGTCAGCCCCGGTGCCCCTGACCTTGCATGGGGTCTCGTGGTGGCCAGGACTGCTGGTGGGTCCCTTCTGGCTTCCTTCACAAGCATGGGCACTGGGTTTCTCCCATCGCCCCCCCGAGACCTGCAGCGTCCACCTCTTTGGCCTTTGTTCCCTCCGGGAGAGTCAACCAGACTCACTTCTACTTCCGGGCTGTGTCCCCGAATCTGAGCCTGCCAGGGGCCCGGGACACGGCCCCTCTGGTATCTCACTCCAGAGCCGGGCAGGGAAGGGCTGAGCTCTGGGCTCCCTAAGGATCTGCAGGTGGAGGAGCCCTGGGGACTGTGGGAGGTCTGGGCACATGGACCCTTGGGGGCGGGGCGGTCAGGGGCTCAGGACAAACGGAAGGAGGAGTGGAGCCCTGCCCACACCCGACGGTCCATTCCTCAGACCACTCACTGAGCCCCTGTGCTGCCCCCAGCCACGCCAGGCGCCGAGGGTAGGGTGTCGTGGGTGTGACAGTGTCCGTGTGCACGCTCTCGGCGCCCAAAGGCTTCCCTCCGAGGACCCTGCACTAAGCGTGTTCCAGCCGGGATCCCCACATAGTACTCGCAGGGCAACCTCCGAGCGAGGCTCCTGCTTCTAGAGGAGCCGACTGAGGCTCTGAGCGGCCGAGTCTCTCGCCCCAGGCTGCAGAGCCGGGCGGAACCCAAGTCTGAGTCGGGAGGCGGTGCTCCTCACAGATGAGGACACGGAGGCTGAGGAAGGGCTAGCAGCAGCCACGACCCCCGGCCAGTGAAGCCAGCGACGGCTGGGGTCTCGTGCCAGCCAGCCTCGTAGCAGCCGGTCGCTTGCTTTCTGTGCCCAACATTCCCTCCGAAGCGGCAAGGGGCCCCTGTGCATCGCCCGGTTCCCGCCCAGGGGGCTCGGGGTGTTCTGTCTGTGTCCTCCTGGGGCCGCCGCCCTCTGGGGAGGAAGGACCGGCTGCGGTGCAGTGGGGAGGCGAGACAGGTGGCAGTCAGATGAACTTTCACAGGCTGAACGCGCTGTGACCACACCAGACCAAGAGCAGGACGTGGTCGGCCCCCAGGGACCCCTCGCGTTCCCTCCTGGCCACCCTGACTGCAAGCTTCGGAGATGCAGCGTTGCCGGTTTTGTTCTTTACATACGTGGGGTCAGAGTGCAGGGTGGTGTGTTTTGCTTTAACAAGTTTTTTATTTATTGATTTTAGAGAGAAACATTGACTTGTTCCACTTACTCATGCACTCACTGGTTGATTCTTGCATGTGTCCTGCCTGGGAATTGAACCTACAACCTTGGTGCATCAGGACGACGCTCTAACCAACAGAGCTACCTGGCTGGGGCTTTTTGCTGTTGTTTTAAAGATTTTAGGGAGCTATTTTAACAGCCTTGTTGAGATGCCATTCACATATTACACAATCCGCCTATTTAAAGTATGAAATGAATCTCAGACCATTTTCATCTGCCCTTAAAGATGCGCCATGTGTGTTAGCCGCCACCCCCACCCCCTGGCGACTGCTGATCTGCTTTCTGTCTCTGGGGGTCTCCCGGTTGCGGTCGTGGCCTGCACAGGAGTCACGCAGCCTGCGCCCTTCTGTGTCCGGCCGCTCACTCAGCACCGGGTTTGCGAGGTTCACCTGCAGTGTAGCTTGTGTTGGTGCTACGTCCCTTTTGATGGCTGAGTATTATTCCCTCACTTCAGGCTCCGGGTCTCCCCCTTCTTCAGAACTGGGTGCCCATGAACCTGAAATGTTCAATGCAGGCCACGCTGGGAGCCCTGGGGAGGGGACAGGAGCGGTGCAGGGGGTTTCCGGGCCTGGGGCCAGGTTCTCTCTGCAGAGAGGGGGCACAGGGGTCAGCATGTGTTTCGGGAACCTCTCGACCACCGAGGTGCATGATCCTCTGGGTCCGTGGCACTTCTTCCTTCTCAGCCTGGCTTTCTTCTGGTTTTGAGTCCTGGCTTCCTCTGGCCATTCTGGTTTTGAGTGGCTGACATCCTTCCTCCTCCCGACCCGAGCGTGCCTTCCTTATTCACCAGGAGTGCTGGCCTGTGCCCTGGGGCTCTCCCAAGGCCATTAAAATCCATGGGGCAGGGGAAAAAAGTGAACAGGAAGCAGAGTCCAGGAACAAAGCGCAGCCTTGTGTGGGAAGGTCAGGTAGGTGAGGGACTTACCACCGCCGTTCCCCCAGATCCGCAGCCGGAGGGCCCCGCGACGCCTGTGCCCACCGACAGGGCTGCTGCGTCGGGTTGACTCACCCTCTTCTGTGCCAGGTCGCCTCTTGTTTTTTACCAGCTTCACCGAAATGCAATTCCCATAGCCCTCGTCACCCAGGAAAACGCACAGTCCACATATGTTCACAGAGTTGCATGTCCAGACGTTTCCATCAGCCCCCAAAGCAAGCCGTGTCCCGCCGCACCACGCCCTCCGCTCCAACGCCCGGCCCCCGGCGACCAGCAGTCTGCCCTCTGTGCCCATGGGTTCGCCTATTCCGGACACTTTGCGGAAATGGAATCAGACCCTCCGTGGTCTTTTGTGTCTGGATTTTTTCTCTTAGCATCATATTTTCACGTTCCATCTGTGTTGCGAGTGGTGTCCATGTTTCATTCCTTTTTATGGCGGAGTTACACGCCACTGTGTGGAGGGACCCCATTTCATTTCCCCGGCTGTCTGCGGACCGACGCCTGGGGTGTTTCCGCTTTAGGGTTGTCAGAGTGATGCCCGTGTTTTTACGTGAACACATGCTTTCCTCTCTCTCGGGTACACACCGAGGAGGGAGGTCGCTGGGTCAGGTGGCACCCTTACATCTCTTGCCTTGGGGACCCTCCAGACTGTTCTTTTCCAAACCTCCAAGCCAGCATCCTGCTGCTCCGGCCCCAGAGTGGCCCGTGGAGGGTCTCCCTCCCTGAGGGTACGACAGGCCACAAGTGGTCTCGGAAAGGGGTGCAGTTCTTACATCCCTCCATTTTCCTGAGGTGCATGGCCGGACACTTACCGGATTCCCCAAAGCATCTGGGAGCGTCCAGCTCCTCCCTGCTCCTGCCAGCCCAGACGTTAGAGGAAGAGGCACCCTCTGGTCCTGTCTCCGCCCTGTCCCCACGCGTCCTGCTGAGCAGTGACACACCGTATGACGTTGCTTTCTCTTCTCCCTCTTTTCCCGGTGCCTGCCCTTCCTGGGGCGCAGCAAGGAGAACTTCAACAACGTCCCCGACCTGGAGCTCAACCCGATCCGATCCAAAATCGTCCGTGCCTTCTTTGACAACAGGTGGGCCTTTTTCCTCGAGCCACCTGCTGGCGGGTGACGCTGTCCTCGGGGGAGCGTTTTGCCCGTGTCGTGTCTCACAGCCCTCGTGTGCTCACAACTGGCTCTCACGCTGACACAGAGAATAAGAGGCAGCTGTGCTGGGTGGGAGCTCTGAGCCCAGGGGTGGTGGGTCGGACAGTTCTGGATTCATTGCTGGGTGACTTTGGGCAGCTCACCCAGTCCCTCTAGGCCTCTGTGTTAGTTAGCTATGGCTGTGTAACAAATTAGCCCCCAAACTTAGTAGTTAAAACAGTGCGTGTTAATATCTCACCTTTGTGGTGGGTCAGGGATCTGTGAGCAGACAAGCTGAGTCCTCGGGAGGGGCCAGCTGGGCCTGCAGAGATTGCTGACACCCAGGGAGAACCGGCAGGAAGAGGAAGGGAGGGAGTGGGCCACTTGATGGGTGAGGACCTCCCCGACCTGGTGCAAGTTGCGTGAACCTGAACTGCTCAGCTCTGGTTGTGCCAGGGCTGGGGGGCCTGAGAGTGATGCTGAGCCTCTCTGAGCCTCACCTGTTCATAACGCAGGGGAGTGGGGAGTCCTCAGGTGGCCCCAGAAGATACAAAGGCCTTCCTCCAGGGCTCTGGCTGAGGGCACCCCATTTAGGACACAGGGGTGAAGAGCAGGTGTGGCTGGTTCCAGGTGCTGGGTCTGGGTGTCCTGCCCTCTGCACTCCCGTTGCCTTGGAGATCATGACCCTGGCCCATGTGGGCCTCCCAGGGACATGATATGATGGTGAAGCAGTCTGCCTCTGACCTTCCCTGAGAAGGACACATGGCCTGCCTTTCCCAGGTGCTAGTCTTAATTGCAGCAGCTACTGCGGCAGCCAAAACCACTTGGGAAGGACGTGAGCAGTAGCGGTGAGAGGGGCCTCCAAGGAGCCCAGTGATTCCGGAGGCTGTTTTATGATTCCGGGCCTATGATTCAGGTCCAGGCCCCTGACGGCAGGAACTCTGAGATTACCCAGGGTCTGTCTGGAGGAGCAGAGGGAAGCTCTGTAAGACAGACAAACTCACCAAGACTGGGCTCCTTGCCTTCGGAGGAATACCTCCTCGTCTCATCTCAGATTTACAGTTTTCATGATCTACCTTCCATGTTCCAGGCTGGGGATTGGTTCACCTCGTTCTGGAAAATCTGGCATGGACAGTGGGGACCAGGGAGATGCGTAAACTGTGAAGTGGGGTGCACAGTGCAGGGTCAGTCGGCATCTGGGAGAGAACAGATGGGCCCCCAGCAGAGAACCACAGACATTTCCTTGTAAACCGAGGGATGGTCATGACCTGGGTGGATCCCACGCACATTTTAAGCACTAACCCTTGACTGTTCATTGTCCCGGGGCAGCTAGAGAAGCGCCCCTTTGCAAGGACGCACAGTCAGGAAGGGTAGGGGATGCTCACCCGCCCCTCAGGTAGCAGCTTCCTCTGGGCACTTGTCAGACTGTCGTTGTTGAAGTCAGTTGGTGGCGAGGGGCAGGAGGCCGTGTCTGGTCCAGGCCGACTCCAAAGCCGCTGCCTCAAGAGCAGCTCCGTCCGGGACCCGCCCAGGTGCTGTCACACCTGTTTGCGGAGCACTGGCCCGCTGGGTGTCAGGCAGACCGAGTGTCCTGTGTGTCCTGAGCCCCACCCAGAACACCAGCCCTGTCTGGCCCCTTAAGGAAAGCTCATCTACAGGGACAACCTCAAATCCGCCCCGATTTTTGTTAAAAACCGAAGATCATTGGTGAACTTTGCATCCAGGTGCCGAACAGGTAACCCCGGGCTGCTGGCTGCCGATCGGTAGAGCGGAGTGTCGGTCAGCTGCCAGAGAGCAGGAGCCGGCAAGCGTTTTCTGGAAAAGGCTGGGGGACAAATATTTTAGGCTCTGTCACAGCTGCTCAGCTGAGCCTCCGTGGCACGAACGCAGAACAGACGATATGTAAATGAGTGTGCGTGGCCGTGCGCCAATAAAACTTTATTTATGGACACTGGAATCTGAATTTCATGTAATTTTCACTTGTCGTGAAATGCTCCCATCCTTTTGGATTTTTCCCCCCAAATACTCTTTCAGCCGTTTCAAAACGTGAACACCCTTCTTGGTTCGTGGGACGTTATCAGGACAGGTGGCCCTTGGGCTGCAGTTTGCCGATCCCTGGTCTGAAGGGAAAGGGTCAGGAGGTGACCTAGGGGAGTCACTGGCTGGCCCTGTGCCTCGGTTTCCCCATGTGGGAGCATGCATCTCTGCACCACGGCGCAGCCAGGCAGCCCTGCCTCCCATCCCCCCAGGGCGGTGAGCTCTGGGGGGACCTCACAAGGGCTCGGCTGTACCTCCCGGCCCCCCTGGCCTCCCCATCGGCAGGTTGTTGGGACACAGAATGCAAGGCTGGGACAGCCATGGCAGGGGGAGCGTGTGGTCCCAAAGAGCCACAGTCTCTGAGCCGGTGGCCGCTGTTCACTCGTTTCCAACGCACCCTCGCCGCTCGCACAGGAACCTGCGGAAGGGGCCCAGCGGCCTGGCCGACGAGATCAGCTTCGAGGACTTTCTGACCATCATGGCGTACTTCCGGCCCATCGACATCGCCATGGACGAGGAGCAGGTGCAGCTGTGCCGGAAGGAGAAGCTGCGATGTACGTGCCCCTCCCCGTTCTGCAGTGGGCGGGGTGGGGGAGCGTGGGGGCTGCGGCCAGCAGGAGGGGAGGGGGGGGTGCCAGCCCTTGGGAGGTCGGTCCCAACCGCCCCACCTGCGAAGGGTGCCAGGTGTCTCTCTGTCCTCTGGAGTTGCCCCTGGTGGCCTCCTCGAGAACACCCTGCAGCAGCTGGAGGTGCCTGGGAACAGGAGGGGTTGCGGGTGATGAGAAAAGAGCAAGGCCCTTCGTTTAAACAGACCGGGGTTCCAATCCGGCCTTTCCACTGGGCAGCTGTGTGACCTTGAACCTGAACATGGGGATCTGATTGTGAAGCTGGGCTGGTCAGAGGCTCAATAAGATAACACAGGCAGAGTCCTGGGCCCACGGGAGGTGTTCCCTGAGAGCTTGTCTCTTCCCCACCCATGAGTGGTGCTCAGCCCACAGGATGGGCCCCTGTCCTCAGGACCTGCTTCCGGGGAGCCTCCATCGGCCCCCGGGTGCCGGGCGTGCTCGGCTGTAGTCCAGGCCAGCCAGCAGTGCGGGGACCCGGCTGGCCTGTGTCACATGTCCCTTCCTCATGGACTCTCCCATGACTCTGACACCCCTTTTCCCCACCCTGAGGCAGACTGGTCAGCGGGAAATGGCTGTTTAGCTCCGGGTTGGGTAGTGAGGGCTGGTGGGAACTGCGTGTTGGGTGTCCCGAGGCCCTCCTGTGGCCCCCAAAGCTGGGGCCAGGCCTGGGGTCGTGGGGGCCGTGCAATGGGAGGAACTCAGGTCCAAGCTCCTGGTTTCCCTTCCGTTAACGGGGTGGTCGTGGGCAAACACCTTGACTTCCATGAGCTTCCACTGCCCAGTCTGAGAAACGGCTCCGGCAGCCCTTGCCTCTGGGCTCATGTGAGGACAAGAGGAACGGATGTCTGACCAGGGCCCCTCTGGTCAGTGCTGGACAAATGCCAGTGCAGGGGCCTTCGTGGTGGGCCTGAGGCTTCCTGAGGCTGAGCCCAGAGGGCAGAGAGGTCCCCTGCCCTTCAGCTCCTGACCTCTGTGGGCTGTGGGGTGCCGAGTCACAGCAGCCAAGGAACAAGGCGGGTGTCGCCAGGAGGAGGCCCATAGGGGCAGCTCAGCCCAGCCAGGGCTGAGACGATGGCCGCCCTGGGGGCTCCCTCAGGGACGACACCCCGATTCGTCCTCACGTCAGCAGCACGGCCGAGTGGTTCACACGCATTGCACCAGGTCGTCCTGGGCCCTGCCCCGAGTGCCACTCCCCGAGTCTCTGCAGCACCATGCCGGCGAGATGGGGCTCAGAGAAGTGGGGTCGCTTGCCCAAGGTCACCCACCAGGAAGTGGCCGGTCTGCCCCATGGCCTGCGCCCTCGACCACTATGGCTTTGGCATTTAGGTTTCACTAGTGGGGTCTTTTGCTCAGTTTGTGGTAGATGTAGGAGCCAGGGAGTGTGGGGGATCTAGAGGGAGCTGGTTCCCCTCCTGCCCCCCTAACGAGCCCCTCGCCCCACTGCCCCCCAGTTCTGTTCCACATGTACGACTCGGACAGTGACGGCCGCATCACCCTGGAAGAATATCGAAATGTAAAGTATGCCCCTCGCCCGGCCAGGGCCCCCAGCGCCCCGGCCCCCTGCCCTGCAGCCCGGATGGAGGCCCACGGTCCCCTGTCTCTGCCCGGCCGGCAGGTGGTGGAGGAGCTGCTGTCCGGAAACCCGCACATCGAGAAGGAGTCGGCCCGCTCCATCGCCGACGGGGCCATGATGGAGGCGGCCAGTGTCTGTGTGGGGCAGATGGTGAGTGCCCTCCTGTCCCTGCTGGCTCCCACCAAGCCCTGGAGGGGGCCACTGGCCCGCTCACCCCTCTCTCTGAGCCGCATGGGGCTTTTCCGACCTCAGGGGACCCACCAAAGGGAGGTTCTCCTTGCAGTCCCCGGAGAGCTGGGCCAGGCAGGCCCTGCCAGGCGAGGGCAAGTGCAGACCTGTGTGGTCTCCGGGCCCCGGGCAGCCCCGTGGCTGGTCACTTCAATGGGTGTGTTTGTTTGCCAGTGAGTGGCTCGGAGGGGCTGTGTGGCCTTAAGACAGGGGTCCGCAGGGAGCTCTCTCACGGGCTACCGGTCTGGGGTCCTGAGGATCTAGGGCAGGGTGGGGCTATGTGTACCTGAAACAGAGAGGGCTCGGCCTTCAGTGCCTGTGGGCTGTGCAGGGCGGAGGGTCCCCGCTGCTCCAGAAGAGGCAGAGGCACCTACCTGGCCGTCACCCCTGCTCAGGCCAGGGCCTGGCACAGCTGGGGGTGCGGTGGGAACACGGGCAGGACCCTGAGGGCAGGAGCGCAGGCTGGACACACTGTGAGGCGTGTCAGGGTCACACTGGTGTAGAAATGGCCCGTCCTTTCTCAGAACTGTGCTGCTCAGGCTGGCGATGAGCATGGTGGGTGTGTCAGAGCCGGGCGTCCCCACCCGACGCTGCCTGCTGGGGTGGCCTGGGCGCTGGGTGCTGCTGCTGCCCCTGGTGGGAGGGGCCGAACCATCTCCAGGGAAGAACCGTGGAGCAGAGGGTCCAGGATGAAAAGGCTGGGTAAAGTGGTGACTGGCACTTTGACAGGCAAGCTGTCGCCACCAGCACTGTGGTCAGATGTGTGGAGACACCTGCAGGTCCTCCCAGGGGCCCAGCAGGTGCCCACACAGCCCCCTGCTGGGCACGCGGGGGCACCATTGTATCGACTCGTAGCCTCGATTTTACTGCTGGGGAAACCGAGGCTCAGGGACAGTGATGTTTGCCACACTCTCATGGGGCTGCGTCCGTGGCTGTGAGCCCCCAGGGACCTCTGGGCAGGCACGGGACCGTCTCGATGGACTTTATTCTCGGGGCTTCGGGTGGTCCCACTGGCCTGTCCCCTCGCTGTTCCTGTGTATTTAAAGTAGTTGCTGCTTTTGCTACTTTGGTGGCTGTGGGCGAAACCTCCCCACTCAGCACATTAACCGCCGTGGAAAGGGCTGCTGACCTCGGTGGCGAGGGCGGGGATCCCCGCCGGCTTGTTGAGCCAAATTCCCATTTGATTTAATTACACTCGTCTTTAAATTGCTCCCTGTCTCACTTCAGCTTCATCTGGCAACAGTTTTCCTAATTTGCTGGAGTGCGACTGCCGGCAGCTGGCAGCAGTGACGGTGACGGCACCAACACTGCACCCGCCACTGTCCCCCCTACGGTGGAGGCGTATCAGGTGACCTGCTGGCCTCCCCACTGTGCGCCCCAAGCGGCTGTCTGGGAAAGCACACGTAACCGCCCGCACTGCCCGCCCCGGACAGAGGAGCCCCCACACCCACTTGCATGGACTTCACGCCCATTATTGACTGGGCCAGCGATTTCTCTCCAGAGTACTCTCTCTGGGGAGGCCTCCAGTGGGGTTTCATGGCTGGGCCCTCAGCCTGGAGTGTTTCCCCAGCCCCTCTGCCCTCCTTTCTACGGGTGCCACCCTCCAGCCGAGGGGCCTTGTCTGTGGTTAGCTCTCCGTGTGCCCTGGGGACCTGAGGTTGTGGAGGGAGAGGACAGCCACTTCTTCCTGGGCCACAGGCAGGCTGGGCAGGGAGCCCTCAGGCTGGGGCCGGCCCGGGCATCTGAGAACTGGTTGCATTTACAGCATTCAAAAATGTATGTTGATTTGTCTCCTGCATTTTTGTAAAAAGTACAATAGAGAAACCAGAGGGTGGAGAACCGGGTCGGGCATGTGGAACCCCGCACCCAGTCCTCTGTGGCCTCACCTGTAGAGTGGGGGCAGGAGCAGAGCCCCCAGAGGAGGCTGTTGAGAGGCCTGTGCTGGTCAGGGTTACCGTTCATGGCGTTTGCAAGGCACAAGGGGCAGCCCCTGGCCCGTGGCCAACCCTCGGAGCGTGCCCAACTGCTGTTTCCTTAAAAACCACGGGGAAGTTTCCGGAGAGGCACCAAGAGAGAAGGGCCTCTCCTTGACCTTCCCCTTCAACCCCAGGCCTGCTCCCTTAAATAAGGGAACTCCCTTTGATGGTTTCTTCTCCTGGTAACTACAATGTAAAGGGCCGGCGTGTATTTTTATTTTTTATTTCCCCAAAATGGAACCGGTCTGCCGCCGTTTTCCCTCTCATCCGTGCTGACCCACCCACGTGGCCCACGGTGGGGGTCAGGCTTGCTGGGCAGGGGGTCTGCAGACATTGCTCTGCTCCTTGTTTGTGCTGTTTTTTTTTCCTCCAAGTGTAGGTCTTGGCACCTTTTCTCTAAGATCGCCATTTTCTTAATGGCCGAGTGCTGATCGACACCACAGACCAGTGGAGCCTGCGGAGCTAGGCTTCCGTGGATGGGCACTTGGGTGCCGGCCAGGCTGTCCCCGTCCCAGAGGGTGCTGCGGAGCAGGGCGGCGGAGGCTCCTGCGCCAGAGCCCAGCCGCAGCCCGAGGGCCGGGAGCCTCACTGTCCCTCAGGGTCCCTGTGTACCCAGAGCAGGAGTCCCAGAGCGGGCCCAGCACTGCCAGTGACTCTGGGCAGGCGAGGGCCCCAGGGCCAGGCATCACTACTGAGACTCACTGGGCACACAGGCCAGCCCTTTGTCCCCGCGCCCCTTTCCCCGGGGGTCTGTGAGCGCACATGAGCCTAGAACTGGCTGTCACCAGGGCTGGTGTGACGAGGCGGGACCGAAAGTCGCAGGAAGTGTCTGCTGGCAGCCGTGTTGCTGGGGCCGGGCAGATAAGTGGCCGTGAGGGGAGGAGAGCCTGGTGTCTGTGCACCCACCCCGCTTCCTCCTCCACGCACATCCATGGGTCCTCCCTGGGGGACGTGGGGGTGCCTGTGCCCTGAACCCACCTCGCCCTCCCATCCTCTAGCCCGTGAAGGGGACCCTGGAGTTGGGAGTTCAGGGGGACTAGCCTTAAGCTGGTGGCGAACAATCCAGAACCGTCCCTTCTTGTGACTTGACCTAAGCAGGCCCGACCATGTGTGCGGGGTAGGTGCAGGGCAAAGTCTCCTGGTCGAAGCCACTCACCCAGCCCTGTGCTCTGTCCCCAGGAGCCCGATCAGGTGTACGAGGGCATCACCTTCGACGACTTCCTGAAGGTGGGTGTCTGGGAAGGGAGGGCATGTCGTGGGTGCAGCCGTGGTGGGGACCCGAGGGGGAGCCAGCTGGTCAGGAGACCGGCACCTTGGTGGAAAGGGGTCGAGCCTGGGTGTGGCCTTGAAAACAATTTAAACGGCCTTCATTTACTTTTTTATTGTAATATTCACATGGGGTCAGAACAACTGGAGTGGTACAAAGGTGTACCATGAAAACTCCGTCTCTCCCGTGCGAGTCCCTAGGCCGCCTTCCCAGAAGCGGTCCCCTGTCACGGCGGGAACTGGGGCTCTGGAATGTCCTGTGCCTGGATGAGTGCCGGCTTGTCTCAGAAGCACCCGGGAGCCGGATCAGTGGGGTCCTGGCCCCGGCTTTTGTCCTACGGTGCCTTCTAGGAGGCTTCGCTCTCCCGGCTGCCCGTGGGCTCTCTAGCTCCCACTAGTGGGCATTCGCTGTCACCAGTGAGCTCCTGGCTTGGGAACTGGGACCCCTCTCTGCTCTGATAGGCAGATACCCCGCTGTGCGGAGACGGGGTCCCCTGCCCACTTCCTGGCTTTTTGGCCCTGAGCACCCCAACACTGGTGTCCCCAAGCCCCCACGCAGTGGAGGGATGGCTCAGCGGGGCCCCCCTCAGCCCACACCAGGCACCAGTAAGTGCATCCTTTGCAGATGTGCCATTGCTGGGCCGGGCCGGGCTGATAGGATCAGTTTCCTTTTTGCCTGAGAAACAGCTTTCTTCCCGAAGGAGGGCCACTCTCCACGCCTCCAGCCTGTGGGGCCCTTCCTGCCCATCCAGCGCCGTCCTGTCCTGGGCTCCACCAGCCTCCCTAGGGACCCACTGCCACCCGCATGTAGCAGAATCCACTCTGAGGGCCCGGGTCTCTTTCCCCGGGTGCGTCTCGCTCCCCTGGTGAGGTCAGAGCCGCTCACCTGGGGCCGGGCCTGTTTCCCGAGCCCTCACGTCGCGGCCAGGGCAGGGCGCCCAACACTGAGGGCGTGACACTGGCCTCCCTGTGCACTGTGGGTGACAGCGTGGGAGCTCGGAGTGCTCACATGAGCCGGGAGGCATCCCTCCGGCCCTCCCTCCACCCGGGGCCCTCCGGAGCCCCATGTGGCCCAGCAGCGGGCGGGCGTACAGCCCGGGAGTGGTGGGACTTTGTTGGGTGGCGGGCAGGGTCTGGCAGCCTGCGTGTCGCCGGGGCCCCAGCCAGGACAGTGCCAGGTATGCAGCGATGGGCGTGGTCTTGGGTGGAAATCACTTCTCCCTGGTGTGAGCTTGTCTGTCTAAACCATGGGTGACTTCCTCTTGCAGGGAGGTTATAAAGACCAAACTGTTGTCACTTTGTGATTGACAATGGCTTAATGGAGCCTCACGATTGCATAGCCCTTAACAGTCTACAAAATGCTTCTGAGGATGTTTCTACCTGAACCGCCCCCCCCCCCCCATATCCTGGCATTTCACCTGTGAAAGGTGTGATGGGGCTGAGGAATTTGCGTGAGACGCACAGGCCCTGACGTGGTGGTGGGTGGGACTCAGGTGACTTTGTGATGGAGCTTGGAGTCGGTGCTTAGAAATAACCTGGGTGACAGTCTCAGGGTCCAGATGTCAGAGCCACGTCCTCTGGCCTGACGGCAGGTGGACGGTCCCGTCTCGCTCAGTGGGTTTTCCTCACGGGGCGTCCCTCTCCGTGGCGGAGGAAGGGGGCGGGGAGATGGCTCCGGACTTGCCTGGGGCGGCACGAGGCCCTCTCACGCCGCCCCGTCCATTTCAGATCTGGCAGGGGATTGACATCGAGACCAAGATGCACGTCCGCTTCCTTAACATGGAAACCATGGCCCTCTGCCACTGACCGCCGCCTCCCGCGGAGCGCACCCTCGGCCGGGCGGCCTCCCCTCGGGCCGGCAGCGAGCGAGCGGGGCCGCAGCTTGTACATAGTCAACCCCCTCCCTCCGCTCTTCCCGTTCCCCAGTACAGGGCATGGTGTGTGGGCTTTTACGGTTTTTATCGCTAATAAAAAAGGAACAGGGTTTCTTAACAAACGTGGCTCTGTCTGTCCCTCGTGGCCGCACCCGTGGCCTGGCCGCTTGGTGGCCTGAGCCCAGTCCGAGGGACAGGCGGCCTCCAACCCTGTTCCATGGCCGGCCTGGAAGAGGGGATTTTTGTTCTCCTTTTCGGGTTTATTTCGGTCAAGCGTCTGCTGTTCTCCCTGAGGAAGGGCTGGGAATGAAGTCACCTGCCTTCCAAAGTCCAGGAGCGGCTCCTTGCTCCCCGGGGTGAGGGCTGGGTCGGGGGGCCTCCGCAGGGTCTCGGCCACGCAGCTGCAGCGACCCCTGCTGGCCTCGTGGTGCAGGGGCCTGGTGTTCGAGGCCTGGTGGCCGACTCCAGGGTCAGGCTGGGGATCTAGGGCCCTTCCCGGCCAGCGGGCTGCCGGATGCAGGGCTCTGCACCCAGGACACGGCCCCCAGCGCCAGTGGAAGCAGTGTAGACGGGCACGGTGGCAGAGGTGGCCCACCGCCCCAGGTAGGCATCTCTCAATGCTGTCACCTGATGGGGGGGTGGGACAGTGGGTGGGGACAAGGAAGCAAAGGCGGTTCGTTTCAGTTGGTGGCTGTGGCTTGCGAGTCAGCAGGGGGCTGGCACGTGTCACACTTGTCTAGCTGGCAGTTGGCACTGATGACCTGCCGCCTCTCCGGGCCACTGTTTGCATTCCAGGCATCGCCCTGGTTGTCACGTGAACGATATGCCCGGTCCCTTTATTGCCATGCGCTGGGAGGCGCGGTTCTAGCCTTCTAAGGAAGTTCTCCTGGGAACTGGCCACTGCCGTCACTTGCGTGCTCCAATTTTTAATTCACGGTTTTGATGTTGCGCATGCTTCACGGCACGGCGTTGTGCCCGGCACTGGGGCTCTGACTTGAGGTGCAGGAAACGTTGTTTAGGGTGAAGTTAATGCCGCATTCACATTAAAGCCCAAACAGCAGCAGGGTGAGTTAAAGAACGGGGGACGGACCGGGCGGGTGAGGAGGTGGCGGGCTTCACCAGGCAGACGCGGCCTCGGCTCTCCCGATGCTGGCAGGGGCGTGGTCAGGCCGCTGGCCCCACCTGCAGGGAAGCAGTGGGACGTCTGAAGTCGCTTTCAGAGCCCTGCACCCTGGACTAGCACTCAACACAGCAAATGCTGGGCGTTCGGAGCCGTAGGTCAGCGGCCAAGGCCGCCGCTGACGGCCCTCCAGGGGCCACGGTCTGGTGGGAAAGACCAACTCTGGAAGCCAGGGAGCGGCCAGCAGGGCAGTTTCTGGGGGTGGGAGGGAGGGGACATGAGCTTGCTCCCCGCTCCCCTGCCTTCCCGTCTTGCTCATGCCCTTGGGTTTCCAGGCTGCCGGCAGGAGGAATTGAGATCAAGTCCCTGGACAGCCTGGGGCGGGGGATCAGTACTAGTCAGCTTTGTCCAGAGCATGTCTCCCCCCACCCTGCGTGCCTCGACCTGCCCTGCCCTGCACGAGTGAGGTGGGCCCCCATGTCACCCAGCAGCTGGGTCATGGCCACGGCAGGCCTGCGTGTGCTGGGGCGTTCCCCGTTTGCTTCAGTGTGTTCTTCTCAGCACTGATGTCAAGTGTTTTGTAAACAGTAACCCTCCCATCAGCCCTGTGCCTGAGCCTTTTCACTCATTCAGACCGCAGGGGACGGCCCGATGTCTCCAAGGCTCTGGGCCACCACTCACCTCAAACAGCTACTTCAAGTGGGATTTACCCCCTGGGAGCCCAGGCCAGGCCACACAAAGGGCGGCTGGTTTGTTCAGCCCCTGAGGGTGGCCCCTGACTGGCAGGTCAGGGCTCACCCCAGAGCGTGGGCTGCCGAGTGCACCCGGGCCCTCCCGCCTGGCCCAGGGTGTGGGGTCCGTGCTGCCAGGCTTTCATTTGTTCAGGGAGTAATCAGAGCTGGCTCTTAGTTGGTATAAACCTCCTAGAAAGGGTAGGTGACCTCCCCACAGTCTAGTGGGGCTGTTGGCCCCCAATGAACAAACTGGGGGCGGCTGCTGGGGGCGCAGGTCTCAAGGTGGCCATCAGGCAGCATGGCATGTGCTGAGGACAGAGGCAGGTGACCTGGAAACGGCTCCTCTTACCTGAGGGACCAGCGTGTGCAGCGGGGGTCCGGGGAGGGCTTCTGGCTGCAAGGACCCAGAGCAAGTCCCTGGTGGGCCATCTCACCGAAGCAGCCGGAAGTAAGTGATATTTGCTCTTAAATGGGCAGTGATAAGTCAGATGCATTTGTTGGCAGCCTTCCCTCTATCAGGAATTATATCAGTGACTACAAGGAAATAGGCAGAAATCAATGCAGTCAAATATTTGAAGGAGGCTGGTAAGTCAGTGCTCTGAGGGCGCCGGGCTGCGGGGGGGAGAAGGCGGGTGGGGACAGTGTCCAGGTGGTGCGGTGAGGTCATCTCCCTCCGCGTGTGCTCCCCACCCAGGAGCGTGGCGGACAGCAGGCTCTTGTCCACACTGCCCGGTCACCACGGGGAGGGTGGGGGGAACCCCGCTTTTGGACAGACACGGCCCTCTGAGACGAACAGAGCGATCTGGTGGGGGCTCGAAAGGGCTGTGTAATGGGAATCCGACACGGGAAGCTCGGGGGGACGGCCCTCGGCCACGTTCATCATGAATTATGGATGAGGAGGCCGGGTGAGGTTGCAGCAGCTTCCAGTTTGGGCCAAGCACCCTCTCTGGGAACAAATTATTGCTGGGCTTCAACAAAACAATTCCATTATCTTCAGATCCAAGGGACTGGAAAGTTCTTTTTGTGCCCTGCTAATGGGAGACAGGTCACATATGGATCCAGTCTGTCACCGAGTGGTTCAACTTGTCCCCACCGGGCCGGGCCGAGCCGACAAGGCTGCAGCTAAGCCGTGCCTTGGTGAACGGTGCAGTGACTTACGTGGGCTGCTGCAGAGTTAAAAATACAAGTTGACTTGGCAAGGGTTCTGCAAACACCTGCTCTGCAAGCTGTCCGCCCACACGGTGACCTTGGGGAAGCCTTGGAGGCCTGAGGGGGGGAGCCGGGCTTGAAACCACACTTCCCAGGCATCAGAGCCGCCTCTGTCTCCACGCTGTCCCAGAGTCCACGCTGTCCCAGAGCCCTGACCAAGGGCTGGCAGGGTCGGGGTGGGGGAGGGGGCTCACCGGCTGCTGTGCAGCCCTGACCTGCCCGCTGACCAAGCCTGCAGGGGACCAGCTTCTGGTCTGACCCTGAGTGTGGTTCGTGGGCAGCAGTGTGGTCAAGGGGTGTGAGGTCAAGAGGTCAACAGTAGTCCACTGCCATCTCCAAGTTAGAGAAACGACAAGACAGCGTCTGTCCTACCCCTGACGAGGGGAGAGCAGACACGACCTGACAGGCTCAGTTCTGGGGGTGGGGGCAGCTCCCCCCACCTCCCCAGGGAAGGAGAAGGTTCCTGGTGCCAAGCCATTGAAAGCTGCTGCTGGAAGAGCAGGGTCAGCATCAGAGGCCAACAGTGGGCGGCGCCCAGCAGGAGAGCCTGCAGTCGCAGCTCAGAGGCAGCCCCGTCCGGACCGCCGCGGGCCCTGCAGCGGAGCCAGGTAACCATCTGGCCTGGCAGCACAGGGGGAGGCGGGCAGCTGTCACAGCTGCTGCCCAAAGCAGAGGCCCCCAGTCAGGAGGGAGGGGCAGCTCCTGTCTGGAGCTGCTGCCCACGGCCCGGACCTGGCTTGACGGAGGCCACTGGGCGGCTATCACAAGATGGCTGGGCCATCACCAGGGAAGCCATTTCTCTGTAATTGTGGGGCCAGTTTGTCACTTAATTACCGAGCAGGACACACTAGCTTTTTAAACTTGGGGCCTCTGGTTTCCAGGGTGGATATGGAAGAATTCATCTGGGGGTTGCCGCTTTCCCTTTCAGAAAGGCCCACATCTCCTGCTTAAGGAAGATGTGGGCCAGGGGCCCAGGCACCCAGTCGGCAGCTACTGGAAGGGGAGGCCCGGGACCTCTGAAGCGTGAGCCACACTGCCCGGGCCCTGGGCAGCAGCACGGGGCTCGGACTAGCGAGTGGCAGCGGGGATTCTCAGGGAGCGCCCTGGTGCCGGTTCCCCGTGTGGTTCTGTGGGTTCCTTGGCTCCTGGGCTGGGACCCCGGCAGTGGTGGAGGCTGAGGACAACGGCTCTGCCGTGGGCCAGAGATCCAGCCACCATGCGAGGTGTGCTCTCTGGGGGTGGGGGCTGAGTTGTGCCCGAAGGTAACAAGTCACCTGAGCAATCACGTTTAAAATGTTTAATATTAGAGCCGACAAGACGTGTTATGAACCAGAAAGTGAAACCCGTACAACGTTCTGAGACAAGACACAGAGCTCTGGTGTGCAGTCCCCCTGCCCCGCCCTGTGGCACATCTGAGTCTCTTCCGTGGGCAGGGGGACAGTGGGGGAAGAGCTGGAGAAGCAGACGAGGACAGGAGAGGCCTCCGCTGCCAACTCAGAACCCGGGAGGCAGCGGTGCGGAGAAAGGCGAGGTGGGTCAGGGTCTCCTCTCTCGCTGGGTAAACGCAGGTCTTTGCGGGAGCCCGCTCCTGCCCCATCAGGCCAATGGCTCCCAGGGTGTGACGTTCACGGCAGAAAACCTGAGGCTGGCGAGCTGGGCGGTTTGGCCTGGTAAACTCTCCTTCACAGAACCCACACACTTACCACGAATGGGAGATAAAGCATAAACAGGTTGGAGAGGGAAAAAAACCTGTGCTTGTAACATTTTATATTGGACCAGCAGCTGGCAGCGACTAACACTAGTCTAAAACTACTTTTAATTTTAGTGCAACTGTGACAGAGCTGTCTCTTCAAAGAAAACCCATGTGCCCAGTGGTCTCGCTGCATGGAAAACCACGAGATGGGAAAACCTAAACGCTTCCCTCGCTGACCGCAGGCTGGCTGCTCTCTGGGCGGGGGTGCAGCTCCGTGTCCGGCGCCACCGCCCGAAGCAGCCTGGAGACACTTGCAGAGCCTTCATGGCCCGGAGGTCCCAGACCCAGGAACGGCACACACATCCCGATGCTGTGCGCCCAGGTGCCCTTTCTTCTTGATCAAGAGTTGTGTGTGTTGTCTTTCCAAAACTGGTTATATGAAACTTGACTTGGTTTTCTGTTTCCTTAACGTGTTTTTGCTATCTAAGGCCTGCCTCCTACTTTCTGCGGGACACTGGGACTCTCCTGAGCTCTCTGAGGTGACAGCTTCCATAGAGGCAGGTGCACCTTCTCCCAGTCCTGCTCTGACCTCGTCCCCGATCTGCAACTGCTCCCCTTGTGCCCCAGGTCTGGAGAGTTCACGCTTTTCCATTTTGATTTCCTTCTTTAAAATCGAGTTCATTCTGCAGTGTTGGGAATTGGCACGGATGTTTTTATCTTTTCGCTTTTTGTCAGTTGCGGTTTCACTGCATCCGGGTAGGAGGTTGCTGACCAGGGCCTGCGCGGGACCAGTCCTCACGCACTGAGACTTTCTTGGTGGGCTTCCTCGTGGCCATTTCCTGTGCACAGTGTGTGGATACTTGACAAGGTCTCAAAATGCCACGTGCATTTGTTGGAGCAACTGGTAAGTTGTACGAATGCTTAAGTGTTCCCACTGCTCTGCTGCTCACCCTCTAGGGGAATGTACTGTGTTCCTTTGTGGGTCTGTTTTCTGCTTTGATATTTTGAAGGCTTATTAGGTGGTGGTGGCTACGCACAGTGTAAAGCAAGAGCAGTGGGGTGGTGTGCCCGTGACCCTCTGGAAGCGGCAGCTGCCACACCAAACAGCCCTCTGGTGTTGGTTTTAGCTCGGTGGTTGGACAGCTCTGCCTGGTTTCACTCTGGCTCCTCCGCAGACTCACCTTACACCTGCTTGGAGGAGGCTGCTCTGTGGATGATGACGTAGAAGACACCTGCTCCGCATCAGGTGCGGCGGACACAGCAGTAAGCAAAGCAGCCATTAGGGAACGATGGTGCAAGTGTGTAGTTACAAATTGTGGCAGAAGCTCCGTGGAGCAGCACTGCTATCCTGGGTTACGCCAGGCGGTCGGGTGGCATCAGACGCCCACCCTGAGGGAACGCTTCATGTCCTCCAAAGGGTGGGTGCTGGGGCCTTGTAGGCCACACCCAAAGGGTGGAAGGAAAGGTGGGCAGGAGCAGGGCCATGTGCACAGTGAGAAAGCCAGGCCTGGCCCTGCGGCGGCACGGCTGTGTGGGAGGCCCACGGGAGGCTGGCTGGGGCTGAGCAGAAGGGGGGGTATGGTTCTCAAAGCCACAAGAAACAGGAAGCTGGAATATGCCCGACACCCTTGAGCCCGCTGCAGCCGCTGGAGGAAGATAGAGGGGGAAAGCGAGAGCAGTTCAGGACCGTGGGTGCCACACAAGTGCACCCTGGGGTGGCGGGCTTCCCCAAACCTTTGGAGCCCACGCAGAACTCCTTGGTTGTCTTCACATTCATGAACGCGGTTCTCCTCCCTTCTTCCCTACTCGCAGGGAAAGGCCAGCGTGAGGTCGTAGCCACAGCCCACTGTGGTGTCGCAGGATGGACGGCAGAGGGGCAGCGAGCTCTGCAAGGCCAGCTGGTCCACCGAGAACTGGTAGGCATGGACCAGCCCCTGGTGTCTAGGGAGAGCGCAGAGACGGCCCTCAGCCCCGCGCTCCTGCCGCGGCGGCGGGCTGCCACACAGCTGTCTTTGGGCCACAGTGTGTCGGACACTCCGGGTCCCGCACCACAGGCCACCGGTAGGAGGACATGTTTGATGGGGGGAGCTCGGAACCAGGAGGCAAGGCACCCGGCCTCACCAAGAGGCTGCCCAGGAGCCAGGCCCACAGTCTAACAGGAAAAGGCACCTGAGCCACCTGCATGGGGGGCCCACTTGGGTGGCAGCCGAGTCACCCAGCCGACCCAAGCAGGGAGCCTCGCCTCAGAGGCCTGGGCTCTGCTGCCGAGACCACTGGTCCCTACGCCCTTGGCCTCTCGGCATGCAGGGCCAGCCCTCCCTCTCTGTCCCTACCCGCTGTGCCTGCCCTGCAGGAGCAGTGAGAGGTGCTGTGGCGAAAATGCGTGAAACAGGCGCTCAGCACCCTATTTGCTGATTTCTCCCCTAGTGCGTCTGTATCCGGCTGTGCCGGAGGGTACACCCGGCAGGGAGCGCTGCGGCTCGGTGGGGCTCCGCCACTAACATCGAACCTCAAGGTCTTCCCCGCACGGCTCCGTGCGGCCGGGCCCACTGACCTCCTGTGCGTGGTGAAGTTGTCCAGGTCGGCGCTGCGCACCACCCTCTCGTCGGGCACGTTGGCTGTGATGAGGCTGTGGCTGTTGAAGGCGATGTGACGGACGGGGTGCCTGGAACACAGGTGAGGCCCCCCACACTGAGCATGTCCCGCCACTGCTACCCCAGTCTCGGGCGCAGTGGCGAGGGGCTCTGGAGCCCTCGCAGCGAGCGTTTCTCACAGAGAAGGAAACGGGCTCCCAGGGGCAGTGTCGCACCTCAGTCCCCAAAGCTAGTGTGAACCCCACTTTGGCAACAGGTCTGAATGCCCCCTGGCTGACTGCGCCCCACAACCCGGTGTGTTTCCGACACAGGATAAACTCAGCAGCACCGGGAGAGAACACCCCCAGGCCCACCCACCCACCGCTGGGCCGCCTGGCCTTGGACCCGTCCCTCCAGCTCTCCTAGCCAGGTTCCCGTCTGTGGGGCTCCATCAAAGCCCCCCAGTCCTGAAGTTGGGCTACACATGCCACACACAGTCTGGCCTGTGAAAGTACACGCAGAAACGCTTGGATGTCATGACGTGAAATCTGTGCGGCAAAGGCTTTTGTTCACTCTAAAACCTTTTGCCATGGCCGACGACGGCGCTGAGCAAGGCACCCGATGCAGACAGCTGCCTGGTCGGGAAGGCAGGTGTCCAGGGTGGGGCAAGAGGAGGTTTACAGTTGTGAGCATGCAAAACGGCTTATCTTTTGTTGTTACTTACTAAATATCACATTTTCATACAAACAGCAGACCTACTCCTGCCCCCCACACAACAGAGCCAGTCTGTGTGCAGAGCACAGGAGAGGTTACACCAAATGGGGGGGACCCAGAATTCAGCACTTGGGAGGAGGAAGGGTCCATTCCGGCTGGGCTGGCGGGGGACTGGCTCACAGACAGTGGAAGTTAAGGGGCGTCTGTGCCCAGCCCTGCCGGCCCGGCCCGGGGCTTCGCTAGGGGCCCAGTGGGGCAGGAGGAGTGGAGCGCAAACACCAGGGCGAGCGGCCTCAGCCTGCCTGGCCAGCTGCCTGTACTGCTGACAGAAAGGGGAGGGCGGGGGAGAGGTGGGAGGGCCTGAGAGGTTAAAGTGGAAGGTGCTGGGGACAGGACACTGACCAAGTGACATCTGGGCCAGAGCTTAAGAGAGAACCCTCGTGGCAGCAGGCAGCCAAGGAGTGGCGCAGCAGGCTCGTCCTGGTGGGAACGGCGTCCTTACACGGGACAGGGCCCTAACCAGAGGTGGGACTGCAGGTGCATCTACAAATGAACTAGGAAGGTGGACACCGGGACAGGGCGACCATTCAGGGAGGACCACACACACCCTGCCTCACCGAAGGACTCTGCCGAGGGAGCACAGCTTTTCAGGGACAGAAAAGGCAACCTGCTGGGGTGCAGGCCCAGTGCACTGACCGAAAGGGGAGCTGTCCTGGCGGCCCCGGTGAGCCAGCTCTTGAACTGGGAAAAGGGATTCCTTAAAACCAAAAAATTTCTGGTACTCCAATTTGTGGGAGTTTGAGTTGCCTTCTGGCACCACCTGGTGGTAACTCAGAGCATCACCAAAGAAGTCAGAAAAAGGGCCTGTGTGCCCACTTTGCGGAGTAAGTGCCCTGCCTGCCTGCCTGCCAGGACCCGGCAGTGCACACAAAACCCAGGGCTCTGGTCTGCTAAAAGCTGCTGGCCGAGGCACTCACTAGCACCACACTCCAAAAAGAAACCAAAGTTTCCTTTAACCATGCCACCTCTTGGACTTGACTCTGTACAATACTGCTTCTCGTGGGTCTGGTTGACCATCAGCTGCATCAGCAGGGATCGAAGCTCAGGTCCTGCCTGCAGGCCTGAGCGTCTGCACACGCTCCCCTCAATTCTCACAGGCTGCCTGTCCCTGAACCTCTCTTCACAGCGGTCCTAGGGACAGCTGGGGAGCAGGCTTGCGGCCTCTTATCCCGCCCACCTCGACAGCAGGGGCCCAGGTGGTGCAAGCTCCATGCCAGGCTCCCCCTGCCCCTGCGTTAAAGGTCAGGAGCAGGCTGGAGAATGTCCGACAGGTTAGGCTCCACCTGCACAGAAGCACCTGTGGAGCCTTCTGCCTGCACTTGAGACAGTAGCTCTTTCCTGAACATTCAAGGTGAAGGTTGAGATGGCAGATTCATCCCAGCTCAAGTCTGACTACTTTCAGTCCTAACTGCCCTTCTACACAGTGTGAGGGAAGCCCAGGAAGTGGGTGGGGGGGCGCATCGTGCACATTGAGACCGAAGTGCAGGGCGGTGTGCCTGGCCAGCCCTGCCCCCCACCCCGTCTTGCTTGCCCCTCCGTCTGGAGGGGGGACGGGGGGGGGTCCCCGCATGGTCTCCACCCAAGCTGGGAATGAATTTGGCAAGTTTAACAATGCAGAGAGGGACTGGCTTTCTGATGACCGGCGCCACTTCTGAGCCGCCTGGTGGGAACAGGAGGCAGCAGCGAGCATGCGGGGTGCCGCGAGGCTAGTGGCCCCTGCAGGAGGTTGAGCGCAACGCCTGCTCCGAGGCGGACGGGTGTGATCTGACAGTGAGTTACTGCTGGAAACACCGCGGAAGCCCTCACCTGGAGTGCACCTCCCACAGCTTCTGGTTCATCCGGTAATCCCACACGGAGACCAGGCCCTCCTCGCCTCCGCTGACGACTTTCCAGTCATCCATCTGGACTGCAGAGACTCCAAGTTGGTGGGCAGACAGCGACAAGGCGGTTTTGTTGGTGCGGAGGTCGTGGATCCTCACCCTGGAAGGCCCAAGGGGAGCACAGGGATTAAAGCCTGAAACGACGATTCCTCCTCGGGGGTGCTGGCGGGGCTGCGCACAGCATCCCGTGAAAACAGACTGTAACACCTCTTTGGTGACCTGAAACGTTATCTCCTTAGTATACTGTCATCTGTCATACACAGGAGGCCAAGATGCAAGAGACATGAACTGGTTTCGAGCCCACAACTATGGAATCAGAATGACGTCAGGGCACACAGCACAAGCAAGGCCCAGGGCAAACCCGGCAGCTGCCCTGGCCTCCCTGTATCTGCTCTGCAGCAGGGAAGCCGCCTCCCGGAGCAGGTCCGCAGACGGGGTAGCCAAGCTGAGGGTGCCTCTGCACAGGCGACAGCTGCCGGAGGTAAGGCCGACCTGCAGCAGGGAACGAACTGCTGCTGCTGTTCCGACGTCAGGGGCAAAGGTGGATCAGTTACGCCTGTCTGCCACCTGAGCCTCCGCCTGGCTGGGAAAAGAACACTTAGAGTCTTTGTCTCGACTCTGTAAGTCTGTCACCATCTTGCCGAAATTTGGGAAAGAAGCATGTCATTGAGCAAGGATAACAGAACCATGACAAGTGACAGCCAGTGTCCAGCACTCTTGTCTAAGGTTTGGAAACACCTGCCTTGCCATCAACTGAATTTCTTTAAGAACCTCTTTAAAAACTACAAGTATGCACTGCAACATAAGGATAATTTAGAGAATGAGACAGAAATCTCCTATCCACTAGAAACTCCAGCATACACAGCCCCTGAAAGAAGTCACCAGAGCTGAACTTGAATGTGCCCACGTTTCTGCACAGGTGAACCACACAGAGCCCACACTGTGACCTCCCCAGCAGGAGCGCTGGGTGAACCTCATGCTGACATGGTCAGCGAGACACCAAAACGGGTGGGAAAGGGTCATCTGAGGGCCACGTACACACAGATCTGTTATTTTCAGAAATCGGAGAGAAAGTTATTTGGAATTGAAAATTCTATACCTAGGTTACCTAATAATTTGAAGGCATAATTAAGAACTTTTTGTTTTCTTTCCACAGAAAAGGATTCGCAGTGAGCTACCTGTAGACGCTCTGAGTGATGCAGCCGAATGCCACGCGGGCTGGCCCGTGAGGGTGCAGCGCACAGGCCACGCAGCGACAGGAGACACAAACGCTACCCCGGCACAGTGCACGGACGGCTCAAGTGCGACCTGGCGTCTGCGGGGTCGGCGGGTGCACACAGAACAGACTGACCTGTTCAGAAGCTTCAGACAGACCACAAAGTGAAACCCGATTATTCGCTACACAAAGGCATGTCTACAGGTGACATGGACCTAATGTTTAAATTTGGTTTCTTTGGTCATTATCATCTATTCAGGTTTCCTTTTGAATCTTTCCTTCGAATGTCCAAATTTGCAGGTTTAGATGAATAAATGACTTTCTGGGAAAATGACTTACCCCCCAGAGAGAGAAAAACCCAAATAGATTAAGTGGCAAAGAGCAAACCAGGACAGCTGTCAGGGAGCACCTGGCGCAGCCTGGAAGGAGCAGCCACGCTGGAGCAGGGCAGCGCGTCCGGCCCCTCCCACCAGCATCCTGCCCCCAGAGCGACCATGAGGGCGGGGAGAGTGGCGGCAACCATCCTGCCCCGCGGCTGGGACCCAGACACAAGGACAACTGAGAGCACCAGCAGCAGGGCCCCTCCGGCATGTCCATCAGTGCGATGCACCAGGTCACTGTAACAGTGAGAGGACACACACAGTCATCTCCATGGGTGCTGAGACAAAACTAGACGAAATATAACATGTTTCTAATAAAAAGTCTTTTAAAAACAGTGGCCCACACTTTCATCACTACTCACACTGTTTTAAGAAAATTAGATATAATTAGAAGAAAATGAGAGGTGGGTACATTTATCAATAGAGATGACACTCCAAGACAATTCATTAATAATTCAGAATCAAGTGCAAATTAATGTCAACATCAATAGCCATATCTTATGTACCAACAACCACTAGTTTTAAAATGTAATCAAAGAAAAGATCCCACTTACAATAGCAATTAAAAGCAAAATATCCTATCATGACTTTCTCATCTTAGAGCTCTGCCATATATAATACATGGCGCCAAAATAAATTACAGAGGGCTTAAAGAGTTAAACATAAACTCCAAATATTCAGAATAGGGAAGGCCTTTCTACAACTAAAAAACCCAGAAGTCAAAGACAATGGTAACTGGGGAACTCTGGTAACTAGAGGACAGGCTGACTCCTTCGAATTCACAGTGGAGACCGCCAACCCAAAATTCAACGAGAGAAGAGGAAAAGCAGTTCACAGAGACAGAAATACTGATGGCTTCTGTACACGTGTAAGTTGTTCAAGTTCATGGGCAATGGGAGAAATGAAGAAACGCGGCTGGAGCGCAGTGCCCACTGGGCCGGCCGCCCGCACAGGGATCTGGCAGAACGCCGAGGCCCCCTGCTGGTGAGGCCTGCAGACAGGTGCTCAGGTTGGGCTGCCTGTTTGGTAACATCCAACAAAATGAAAAACACGCCTCACTTTGCACCTACCAGCTCTTCTAGGCACATGTAACACAGGTGCACAAGTGTGTGTGCAAAGCCATTAGGCACAGCACTTTTTAGCAGCAAAAAGTGGGGCTCTGTGTTTCAACAGCTTACTGACCCTCTCACTGGAAGTCGCTGGACACTGCTGCATGCACTGAACAGACCTCCTTTCAGACGCACCGCTGCCCTCTCGGTCAGTGGCTTGCCCGGGGCCCGAGCTGCGTGTCAGTGGCTGGTATCCTGCTTTATAAAAAGGCCGGATAGAACTTCTATGAGTGAAAACATAGTGTCCAAAATCAGATTCATTAGACAGGCTTGGAGAGTTTGTGAATTTGACAACACATCTGAAAAATCACCTAGAATGCAGCCCAGAAATTAAACAAGTGTGAACGAGGGTTAAGGAACAGGAGGGGTGGGTCAGCGAGCAGCCCTTCAACAGTCAGGGAGTCAGTGTCCCAAGTCAGGGAGGCACGCTCACTCAATGAGCAGCCGTCAGAATAAAGAAAACACCGTCTAAGAGCATCATGAAGTGTGAATCCACGAAAGTCAAGAGGTCTTAAAAGCAACCTAAACAAAAGAGACATTACCTATTGGGGAACAGTAACAGGCTGAGAGGAAAAATTAGAAATGATGTTTGGGTGGCCACAGACCTGGATGGCACGGTGAGCCAGCTCCAGCAGCGGGTGTGCTCTGCTCTGAAGCAGCCACGGCGCCTGCAGACGGTGCGGCCCTGTGTGGCCACTGGGGACCGATGCCGGTCTGTCACACCGGCAGGCAGCTGTCCCCAAACGCCACTCCAGATTCCGACCGCAGGGCCCAGCCGTGTGACAGGTGGTGGTGGGACGGATGCAGTGCATGTGCAGACAGACACCCTGTTCAGGAAAGGCAAACTGTTCCCAGAAGACCGACTTCTCCCTATTTATGGCTTTGTGTTTTTGAATGAAATTCTGAATGTGTAGGTTACCTGTTTGAGTAAAACTAAAAAATGCTGAAGAGAAAATGATGGAAGGACACACTCAAATTGTTGCAGGGACCTTGGGGAAGAGTGGCAATTAAAGAATGAGGGGAATACAGGCGGCTTTTACAGTCTGTGAAACTAGAATGCTTTCGTGACTGGGAGGGGCACTCAGGGCCCCGGTCTGCCTAAGCCGGCTGGGGCGCACACACCTCGCACACCCTCCTACACACATACACTCTGTTTCAAGTACACGTGCAGTCTCAAAGCGCAGAGGGAAGACCCGTGAACTCTTCCTGCCTAGGACATGCCACCAACTAGGCAGTGCATGTTAATGGCCACCTCCATTTCGCCAGCATGCCCTCCAACCGCCCACTTCCAGGGAGGGAGCTGGGACGCAGGCAGGGAGATGGTGAAACGTGCTGGAAAGCCCCCGTCTGCCCCTGGCAGCGCTCGGAGATGCGAGGGAGGTCCTGGTGAGCCGGAACAGGGAGAAGGGGTGCCATCTCCTGTCCTTAGTGCCATGAAAGGGACTCTGCCTGGAGCAACTGCAGCTGCCCCGCTGACTCATGGGAACCTGGAAAGGGCCAGGGCACGGGAAAGTTTAGCCCAAACACTTTTTAGCGCTTATCTGGTTAGTAGGCTGTGGTGATTTTCATCAAGAGCTCCTCTGTTGAATATTCATAATCCATAATTTACAGTTTGCCTGTTAAGGAGACAAAGGCAAACACAAATTTGGTCCAGAAGTTCAAAGTTTGCCATCTGTTTTCCTATTGTATTTAGATACCAGCACGGACGGCTGCAAATAAACACTCCAAACAACACTGTACTTGTGTGCTTTGTACCACCAAAGAAAGCAAAAATGGGCCAAAACATGCTTGGACGCCTCCCCCAAGAGGCGCTGCTCCGGTCTCCTGTCCACGGTCAGGGACAGCGAACCCGCAGTGTGCATGGCGCGAAGCCCACACGAGCCGTTCGAACCTGCGCCCAGACCCGGCACCTGCCTGCAGCCCCTGCCCGTGCGCCGCACCAACCTGACTGCTGTGTGGCTTGGCACAGCCTGTGCCCGCGGCGCTGAGATCAAACGCTCGGTGCTGGGACACAGGTAGCACAGCAAATGGGCACAAGTGCACGCCAGGACAACCGGTTCCAGGGACGAGAAGAAGCCAATGACAGAGATTGTGAATCCCCATCTAGCATGTATTTCATCAACTTTGCCGTTGAAAAGAAAAATAATTGGTCCGAAAGCTGTAATTGTATTATGTTTAATATTCATGGCTGGGTTTGGAGGGCTGTTCCAACACTCCCTCTCTCCAGCCCCTCGCTAATGAAAATCGCACCATAGGAGTCGGCTCTAGCCCGCCAATTAAAACAAAAGACACCAGAACCGTCCAAAGACTCCAACAGAGGAGCATCCATCTGACGGGCAGGAAAACGTGCTGGAACGGAGAGGGAGGCACGCTCCGGCCGGTCCTGTGCTCGGGACCGAACAACTCGCCGCAACACTCGCAGATGGAGCACACGCGGCGTTGGCCTTGCACCCCCACCGTTCGCCCCCCTCCGCCAGCGGGCAGCTCTGCGTTCATCAGGCCAACGAGTGAGCTTGAGGCTGTCTAATTGGGGGTCACAGCTCAGGGCTCGCTTCCCGCTGCTTTGGATTAAATGATCCCATAGGAAATAGGGCAAACTGTCCTGGATGGCGAAGCTGCAGCCCATTCCGGCTCTGGCTCGGCAGTTTCATTAAGAAGGACCTGACCTTCAGCAATATTTTTATCCAGAAATTAAAGGGAACAAGCAAGAAGGCATTAAACTGTAGGCTTAAAAAAAATGACCAAATTAATCAAGAAAACTAGTATTTTTCAAAAAAGAAATCGATACATGATTCTGTTTAGTCTCACTGAACCCGGGCTATTAAAAGATGATTTTAAATATAACCTTATATGCCAAAGTCAATAGCTTTATCTGTATAACACTGACGATGGTGTTTAGTAAGTGACCCACTTGAAAGAGCAACTAGAGAAACAGCCTGGTCTAGCCCATTGGGCTTTGCTGAGAGCTCTCTGCCTGAAAGCCGTGTCTCCCACGTTCCCGCTTCCCTGTGTGTGGCCCGTAAAGAACCCTCAGGTCCCTCGGACCAATCTCCCAGCCTTCCTGGACCTGTTTGCTCTGCCGGGTCAACTGCGCACGGCCTGGAAGAGCTCCGCGTGACCTAAAGTGCTGGCACCCCAGCAAGCCGGCCCACCGCGCCTACCACCTGTGGACCCAGCGACGGACACGACACCGAAGTAATGAGGCACAGGGCCCCAGACTGGAAGCACGGGAAGGTTTAGCTTAGTGTCCTTTCAAACCTTAATGAGGTAAGTGTACCTAGAACAGCCCCTCTATTTATGGTCAGTTGGTTTTCAACAATGGTGCCAGGACGATGAGTAGAGAACTGTCTTTCAGCAGATGTCATGGAACAAGTGCACACCCACACGCAAAAGGTGAGGCTGCACTCACACCTCACGCAAAAATTAACTCCAGATGCACTGGGACCTCATTTGTAAGAGCCAAAACACAGAAAGGCTCTGAAGAAAACAGGAGTGAATCTTTGTGAGCCTGGGCCCGACTAGAAAAGGGCTTCTTCAGTGGAATACCAAAGAAACAAAGTAACAAGTAACAAAGAAAAAAAAAAGAGAAACTGAACTTCATCAAAATAAAAGTTCTTGTGCTTCAGAGGACACCAAGAAAATGGAAAGACAACACACATGATGGGAATAAGTATGTACAGCTCGTATCTGACTACAGACTGAAATCTGGAATATGTAAAGCACTCATAACTCAACGAATGAAAAGACAAATAACCCAATTTAAAAACTGGGCCAAAGATCTGAATGCACATCTAAGTGAAAAGCGCACGAAAGGATGCTCAACATCATCAGCAACAGGAGAGTGGAGACGAAGACCACTGGTCCGTGGCTCTTCCCCTCTGACTAACTTCTCTCATCGAGACGAAAGGAGACTTGACGGGGGAGGGGGGTGAGTGAGCAGAGTGACGTGCAGACGGTGCACAGAATGGCACACCTGAAACCCCCACACCCTTACTATCCAACGTCACCCCAATAAATGTGATCAAAATCGGAAAAGTCACAATGAGAGCACCTGGTGCCCACCAGGACAGCTGCCGTCAGAGACGGGGACACGCCGGTGAGGACGTGGAGGAACGAGAGTCTCAGGAGGGACAGAGCCTGGCAGCTCCCCACGCTCTAACCCAGAGTCACCGCGCAAGCCAGCAACTTCGTCCCTAGGCACACGTCCCAGAGAACTGAAAACACAC